AGAATTAGAGATTTACAGAACCGGGAGAATAAATGAACCGCAACAGGCTTATGCCTGTAAGGTACTTAAAAGGAAAAAATGCACTTTTGTTTCGCCGCATGATGAAAAAAACATCGGGTTTCAGCACCTGACAGTAGGGCAACTGACGACACAGCGAGGAACTCAAAATTCACATGTTCAAAAAAAAAAACTTGACCGAGAAAGCAATACATTTGGAAATCGATGACCAGAGGTGTTTGCGAATTAAAAAGAAAAGTGTAAAAATGGATCGATTAGAAAAACAAAAATCATAAATCGGACAACTAAAAGTAAAATGAGGAGCAGAAAGAGAGTATCGTTAAATGGGGAGATCCAGAAAGCTGCAGGCAACTAAGCATCGAACTGAGATTCAAAAAACGATAAAAACACAGTGCCAAAAACAACTGCTATTCGCAGCAGAACTGTTCTGCATGTTTCTGTGAAAAATTTACTGAGAAATACGCTCGAAAAAAAAAATCAGCGTTGCCAATTACCAAACGCCGGTTGTGATTCCAGCGCTCCAAAACGCCTTCCAAACGAGCTGTTTTCCTCTCGTGTAAATCTAAATTTTGAAATATTTACTGCCCGAGAAGCAACGACAGAAACAGGTTTTGGTGTGGTATTTGATGAAAAATAACTGGACGAATTCAGATGAATTTATCGTGATAGGCAACGCACTGTTCAATAAAAGTGTACAAAACACTAAGAAATCCCAGTAATAACTTTTGCCATTATTATTTGGTGCTTCCTTTGTCCAACTTCTACAGAATTAAGTAAACATTTTCCAACTTCTACCTTTGCAGTATCAAGTAAACATTAGAAAAGTTGCCAAGTAGGCTGGGAATTTCAACTGCGCACCTATATGCAGAGAGTTAGTTGCATGCGGCAAATCCAAAACCGCGGAAAATTAGAAATGCTGACACTTTTTTACTAATACTAACTATTAAATTGAGCGAAATGTGAAACTACAATTCTTTAATGTAATTGTGCTTAGAAATATTTGAAACAGCTTAATTCACAGTCTCCCTCTAAAGCTGTGCAGCTGGAAACTTTACAGCTGTTCTGGCTAATGCTGCATCCTCAACTGGGCAAAATGCAGGCAATCTTGGCATCCCTTTCATCTTCTAAAGGGATCATCAGTGGATGCAGTTGGAAAGGCTTCAAGCGATTCGAAACTTCCTTAACGTATAATAAGTTTTAACGGAACTGAAAGAAAAAACAAGGCCATGGGGGCACGACCAAGAAGTGGTCGTTCCAGATAGGAATGTCAGCGTTGTAGCAGACAAGTGGTAGTAACAAACACCTCAGTATCATGCGCACCAGTGCAAAATATGTAGGCCATAAACTTCTTATGAAATTGTAAAACTAGTATCCGGACGCTGCCAACTATACAACATAAAGGCGCACTTGACTGATTTACATTGTCAAAACAAAATTTTCTAAAATTTATCCTAACTAAACTTTACTTACCGTCCATGTTGTGAATTTATGCCGCCATTCCAGCGATCCCCAGCAATGTTGTGTGTTGGCGAATTGAAATTATTGTGAGCCGTTCCACGATTATACGGGGCAGGCGGTACCGACGAAGTATTACTTTGAAAAGCATTAGAGCCCGCTGAATTCATAAAACCACTACGACTGTCACCACGACCGAAGCTGCAAAAATTTTACTCTCAGTGATAAAATTCAAATTACAAATTAACGTATAAGATATTTTTATGATTGAAAGACCTATGTTAAATCATATCGTAACGTGGAATCGTATTTCTTTTCACCGTTTTCATTTATTCCGTTAAAGTTATCGATACTTATGTGATAAAAAGCTTAATTCTATTGCTGTCAGTCCAAAACTCATAAAATGCCGTAATGCACTGAAATAATCAATAAAAAAAATCAAAAATGATCAAAAATCCATATTCTCATCGCTCATTAAAATTACTGAAGCTTACAAGGGCTTAAAATTGTTTGATGTACTGGACCACTGTAAGGATCGCCGTTCATTTCCTGGATCCTGTATTGTTGGCGCTGAACGTATGTGATGAAACCCCATACTATTCCCAGAATTGTATTGCGAACGTTGATCACGTCCACCAAAACGCCTGAAAAGAAAAACCCTCACAATGGTAGTTTCTTAAAACTGTCACCTCAAATATTCAAAACCCTTGCTGAAGCCTTGCTGAAGTAAAGAAATTTAATACTAACAAATTGCAATTTTAAAAATTTAAATTTAGAACGACGTGAAAAAAAGAGTCTACTTCACTGAGGTGAACTATTTTACTCAAACACTAGTAAAGGAAATGGATTTGCTGAGGGATGAAATTTCCCCATCGAAGTTCCTGAACCCTAATGATTTTACTTAGTTTCTTCGATCAGCTGTTATTTCATCGCAGCGCCTCTTTGAGCTCAATCAGAGTGCGTTTCTTCGAAGAAAATTTTGAATAAATAGTCTCTTCTCGATGTCTGCACCTCCCGGTTCTTGTCTAATAATATGCCTCCCAAACATCTCCGGCCGAAGGGTCTGGGGTAAAATCTGTAGAAAGGAGATCGCGCTGCAAGTCAGCGGATTTCGAATGATAAGGCAACTACGTCCGAACTACCCAAAGGTAACCTGAGACTTCACAGAAAAACTCAAAAAAGTAAACAAGAGCGTACCCAACGCGCGTCTTATCGCCGTACTTTGAAAAACTTCGAAAGCCTTCACCACCCATTTTTTCAAGCCAATCCGGTATTTCTTGATTCGTCTCAACTAAGAGCGCCGTAAGATGCTGGCCGATATTGCGATTTCTGTCGGTGAAAAATGAAGTGGCCAGGCCAAGA